GTTTTATTTTTGATTAATAATGATGTTTGTATTTGTTATAAAAATAATGAGATATTTTAAAAAACTGATTTGTTACATGAGTTGGATTTTCTATTTTATATATGTAATTACACATGGGGCATGCTGCAACAAAACCAGACAAAGTGAACATTGGTATTACCCAAGGATTTCAGGGATCAAAATTTAGTAATGTGATTATAATTTGTTATCTTAAGTGATATATAGAATTACCTCTATATAAAAATAGTTTAATATGAAACTCATTTATATCAGATCTGCTATGGAATCCAAGAATTATAGTACTATCAGAAGTATTTTAAAAAAAGGAACAATGTGGAAAAATTGCTCCTTATATTTTTGAAATAAATGACACTCAAACACTGGAAACTTATCTAAGAAAAGAAGGTATTACTTATGAAATTTATCAAGAAGAAAGAAAGTTAATAAATATAAGAAAAGAAAGCAGGATGAGGATGTACAATTACAAAACAAAAGGCAGAATCTTATTGAACATCACTTATGATTGTTTCATATTGTTTCATGTAACATTTAATTTTGATTTTTAATTCATTTTCAAACTATTGATTAGTTTGTTTCATGATTTGTTCATTAAATTCAATGATAACTATGTCCATAATCTTCCAGATAGGTTGATAAGCTTCATATTTATATTTTTATCTAATTAGATTATGGTGTTATCAATCTATGTATTTTATTATATAAAGGGCATTATTTAAGTAATAAAATAATAACTTGTATTTCTTTACAATCATTAAAAATACCTGTTTGGAAACATACATTTTGATCCTCACAAAAGTAATTCTTACAACTGCAAAAGTGGTTACAATATACATGACTAGAGACTGATCTTACACTATGGATGTGGTGTATGAAAAAAACTGAATTTCCAATACTTTCAAATTTGGTCAATAAATATCTTTCAATACCTACAACATCTGTGCCATCTGAAAGACTTTTTAGTGGTGTTGATAATCAAATAATTGCAAAAAGAATTATATTAAGTTCTGAAATCATTAATAAAATTTTATTTTTAAAAATAAATATTTTTCTTGACTAAACATGCAATGATTATTGATCCTTGATATTTAACAATTAAAAAAAAATTAACAGTTAACCACCAGTTAACTGAAAATTTTCATAGTTAATCAACTAAAAGAAATTATTGATTCTTTGCTCGCATTAATAATTTTTCCCATGAAAATTTTTTTTAACTCAATAAATAATTATTTTTTCTGTCTTTTCCTTTTGATGGTACCAATCTCTAGTGTGGATGCACCTAAATCCTGATCAATGTTTATTTGTAAATTCTCTCTAGTTCTTTGTACTTTTGGTGTGTCTTCAATTAGGACTTTATATACAATTTTACCTTTTTTACCTTTGTTTAATGTTTTAATCATTGCAAGAACATCTGCCTGTTATATCAAAAATAATCAGATCATATAAGGAATTCAGAAAAAAGTATTTACTATTTATTAAATTAATACAGTGAACCCTTGTTTTAACGAACCTTGTTTCAACGAAGTATAATTAAATTTTTGATACAACGAATTTTTAAAAAAGTTGTTACACATTATGAAAACATATAAAAATTTGTTGAAATGCGATTAGTAACCTTGTTTCAATGAATGTTGAATAAAATTTTCTTATATGTCCAGCCACTTCGTTGAAACAAGGGCAGACTGTACCTGGAAGTTCATAAGAATTGTCATATCTTTTGAAAACTGCTCCATGTCATCAAATGTGGTTGGAATTTTAATGGCACCAAATTCCTCAAATAAATATACAAAAGGCAGTGGTCTCATCATATAATGAATACGAATTACTCCATCTAAAAAATTCACATTAATAACTAAAACTTTTTGATATTTTTTTTTCTGCAATGATACTTACTAATACATTGAACAGTGTATACTCTCAGCTTATCACATGTAACCTCATCAGAAAGTTTATTTATCAGTCTCATAGCATTTCTACCAAGTTTAATTTTGTCATCCATTTCTTTATTTTCAGTTGCTTTTCTTCCTTTTGAAAATTCTAATAACATAATAAATTTATCATCTTTCTTTATTTTAGGAATTTTAATTATTCCATCAAATTTATGAGATTTAGTGTTAGGTGTCATACATTCAATCCTAAATTAGCAAATAAGGATTAATACAGTATCAGAAGTTAATAAGTGATTTGATATTACACCAAATACATGCCATCTCCATTCAAGAACATCCTGATGCATTCTAAAGAGTCTATTAAGAATATAAACAATTGTATCAATTGCATAAGTTCTTTCTAAATCAGATGATTTAGAGTCAAGAATCATCGGTGCTTCCAACCTAACAGAACTATTTGATGATAGTGTTGGTTATTGACTTAAAAAAATATAATAACCTTAGGCACAAATAACTTACAAATGCTTCATAATATCTTGAACTATATCGTGACCTTCATGCAAAAAAGAATTGAATTGACCTTCAATAAAAGATTTTCTGACTAAAAGAGGAACATTCACTCGATTGCAATTGTCTTCATTGAATTGGTCACAAAAGCTAATAAACTCTTGAGTTTTTTTCCAAACTTTCTTGTTCAATATATTACTCAACCAATTAAAAAGTTTGCAGAAAGTTTATAAGAAACTAGAGTGATGACAGGTGGTGGACGATAACCACCACCATCCTTAAAACACTTACTCAACAACTGCACCAGAGATATTAAATTTGCTCCTTTTATTCGAATCTTTCTTTTGTGGCATTGTATATAACAAGAACAAAAAAAAGAAAAAAAGTTTGTGATATGATCAACACGTACACATTAATTATTTATGGTTTTTTTTTGGTAGGACAGACGTGAATTGATTTTTTTTCTTTCTTGGAAAAACAATTTTTTGACAGAGTCCAAGGTGACAAAATGTGAGTGTTGTTGTTTGTTTGGTTTGGTTTTGGTCTCCTAAAGAAACATGTTAATTATTTTTTTATTTGTATTGGTATCTTTTTTAGTATATAAACATTTTAATTGGAATCAAAATGTGGAGCAGATCTTGCTGGGTAATTACAAGATTTTCATTGATAATATTGATAATATTTTGTTTTTCATAATCAATAATAATATTATTATAATGTCAAGGCAGCATGACTGACTGTTACAGAAGAGACATTTTGAGTATGCAATGTTTGATTATCGGAAATTTTTAGAGACATTGAAGCATGCACGCTACCTTGAACACATTACAGTCATTCACACATCTTCCTTATGTACACAAGGCTAATCTGACCAAGATTTCCATGATGATATGATGATGCAGTTGAATTCCAGGGGGGGGGGCGCATGGCCCTGGAATTTACCAAGACTGCATCAATCGTCAATGACACTTTCACTAATCTTCCCTCACCAGAGATAGCTGCTGGCATGCTAGCTGAAAAGTTGCCTGCAATGATCCTGCCTCTAGGGTAAGGATGGCTCTGTGACCATGTTGCAACTCTGCTGATGAATTGTGATATTAGGTGCACATAAACATCTAGATCATCAAAGCAAAGAGAATCTGCAGCTCATTCCAAGCACAGGAAGTCGCAATTCAGAGCAGGGTTGGTGGCCCTGAAATTGCAATTGGACTCTGATGTTAAGAGGAAAGTTGTAAAATAGTGTTTGTTTTGTATAATCATTTTCATAAATGCTCTGTTTCTCTGAT